TGACAGGTTTTTATAATTTCCATATATTCATGGTGAATTCTAAACTTGTTTTTGTCACGATATGGCTGAAATATTGCCGATGTGACTGTAAATCTTTACTCACTCACTCACTCAATGTGGACAAGCGTGCACGTGTTTTCGAAGAATAATACATTATAATGAAATTTTACATTTTCACCAGAAACACCAGGTCTAGCAAACAGTTAAAACATAGTAAAGATGTTTCCTTCAATGTGATCAACAACAATAATTCCCCAGTGTGAATGGAGCGTACAGATGAACCTATACCAAACACTAAATTGCACATTTCGCATAAGACATGGAAGCTAGTCAAATAAAAGCATACGTTCAAAGACACATAATCATGTGTTATTCCTTCATAACTTGTGTCAGATGTAAAATAATAAGCATGTGAGCCCTTGATTTATGTTTACATCACTTTCCCTGCGGTGATATAATCTTGACATATTCCTTTCTATAAGACTGATAGGCTACAAATGGCAATTTTTATTCAAAAGAAAATATTATGTTTCATGGTAAACCGTTTAAAAAACAATAAGCTGATGACGTTGCTGACTCACTTGAGTTGAGAAACCACTCTGTTCATGAATGTATGCTTACAATGGATACCGTGCAATTACATCTCTTCAGATTTCACTTTAACATAAGTTATCATCAAGATTGATTTCACAGTGTGATACTGACTGACGTGAGATTTCAACATGTTGAAAGGCAATGACGTCTGAATATGAATATCTGAATGATTGCTCAACAGAAAAACATGCTCACACAGTTACTCGGTGAAGAAACTGTCCAATTATATATAAATGTATATTTGCATTAACGGAAACCTGTCACTTCCACACTAGACCCGTGTTCGTGGGTCTCGCATCGCCTCAGGCGTTCATAAGCCGTGAAATCACTTATAAACTGTTCTAAACGGCAATGCACTCTCTCGCACACTCACTCGTATCACTGTCCAGAAATTGAGCGTTGTGAGAAAATAGCTTTAACTCCAGGATAAATAAGTCTATTGAGCAAAGGCATCGTTATGTAACTGCTGGACGTTGTAGGTATATTCTGCTTGAAGTAAGTCATCGTTTGACGTCAAAGGTCTTCAAATTGGCAAAGTAAATGTTCCGCCAAACATGTCAGTCGATCACAGCCTGCAACATCCCTGCACCTGCTTCCGCCAAACATGTCAGTCCATCACAGCCTACAACATCCCTGCACCCGCTTCCGCCAAACATGTCAGTCCATCACAGCCTGCAACATCCTGCACCCGCTTCCGCCAAACATGTCAGTCCATCACAGCCTGCAACATCCCTGCACCTGCTTCCGCCAAACATGTCAGTCCTGCAACATCACAGCTTCTGCAAACATCAGTCCATCACAGCCTGCAACTTACACCCGCCAAACATGTCAGTCCATCACAACCTACAACACCCCTACACCTGCTTCCACCAAACATATCAGTCGATCACACCCTGCAACACTCCTACACCTGCTTCCGCCAAACATGTCAGTCCATCACAACCTGCAACATCCCTACACCTGCTTCCACCAAACATGTCAGTCCATCACAACCTGCAACACCCCTACACCTGCTTCCACCAAACATGTCAGTCCATCACAGCCTGCAACATCCTTGCACCTGCTTCCGCCAAACATGTCAGTCCATCACAGCCTGCAACATCCCTGCACCTGCTTCCGCCAAACATGTCAGTCCATCACAGCCCTGCTGCTTCCGCCAAACATCCCTCACACCTGCTCCCTACGCCGCCAAACATGTCTTCCTAAGACCAACCCATCACAGCCTGCAACATCCCTGCACCTGCTTCCGCCAAACATGTAAGTCCATCACAGCCTGCAACATCCCTGCACCTGCTTCCGCCAAACATGTCAGTCCATCACAGCCTGCAACATCCCTGCACCTGCTTCCGCCAAACATGTCAGTCCATCACAGCCTGCAACATCCAGCCCTGCACCTGCTTCCGCCCTGCACCTGCTTCCGCCAAACATGTCAGTCCATCACAGCCTGCAACATCCCTGCCCTGCACCTGCTTCCGCCAAACATGTCAGTCCATCACAGCCTGCAACATCCCTGCATCTGCTTCCACAAAACATGTCAGCCATCCGGCCTACAACATCCTCCCCTACACCTGCTTCCGCCAAACATGTCAGTCCATCACAGCCTGCAACATCCCTACACCTGCTTCCGCCAAACATGTCAGCCCATCACAGCCTGCAACATCCCTGCACCTGCTTCCACCAAACATGTAAGTCCATCACAGCCTGCAACATCCCTGCACCTGCTTCCGCCAAACATGTCAGTCCATCACACCCTGCAACACCCCTACACCTGCTTCCACCAAACATATCAGTCGATCACACCCTGCAACATCCCTGCACCTGCTTCCACCAAACATGTCAGTCCATCACAGCCTGCAACATCCCTACATCTGCTTCCGCCAAACATGTCAGTCCATCACAGCCTGCAACATCCCTGCACCTGCTTCCACAAAACATGTCAGTCCATCACAGCCTGCAACATCCCTGCACCTGCTTCCGCCAAACATGTCAGTCCATCACACCCTGCAACATCCCTACACCTGCTTCCACAAAACATGTCAGTCCATCACACCCCGCAACATCCTTACACCTGCTTCCGCCAAACATGTCAGTCCATCACAACCTGCAACATCCTTACACATGCTTCCGCCAAACATGTCAGTCCATCACAACCTGCAACATCCTTACACCTGCTTCCGCCAAACATGTCAGTCCATCACACCCTGCAACACTCCTACACCCGCTTCCGCCAAACATGTCAGTCCATCACAGCCCGTAACCCCCCTGCACCTGCTTCCGCACAACATGTCAGTCCATCACAGCCTGCAACATCCCTGCACCTGCTTCCGCCAAACATGTCAGTCCATCACCGCCTGCAACATCAGTGCACCCGTTTCTGTCAATCAGATGTGGCCACAACACAGAGAAACAAGACCTTCCTCCGCTACCGTTTAACCGTCAGCAGCGATTCAGAGTTATCAAGAAGGTGGTCCGTCTGTAAATTGTGGAAGCAATAAGTTGGTGTTGATACATATGCGGACGGCTAGAGCGAGTGAGTTAAAATCGGCAATATTTCAGCCATATAGTGACGAGAAAACATTACATCTACAATAAATATATCAGTCAGCAAAGGTCTGTAAAACATCTAGAGTATCACAGATGGTGTCTAAAACAAGCATGTAAATGTGAAAATATTTTATTTACAGAAACAATACAATATGAAAACAGGCTATAGGTCGCCAACAACTGACGGACGGCCAGACAAGTGGTTCCTGACTTATAATGCCTTGGATATCAACAGTTTTTTAGGTGCGCAATGTACGAGGCTGCTAATCGTGGGATACAATGGCTGCACAGATGTCACCTTACATGACTGTAGTATCAAGGCACCGACACAATCGGAGAATTTACGTGGACAATCTCGACATATGGACAATGCAACCTATATTTAGTGGATTCAGGCGACTTCGAGTTATAATAAGGTCTCATGAAGCTCTATTGACAATGAACAGTGTGTTAATGTTTGCTGGAACTGATCATATCTACTTCTCAAAAGGGAAAATATTTTTAAAAGCAGAGGTAAAGTATTCTTCACTTTTGGCAATGTTTCAGTCATAACTGTATAGTGGACACCACGGTTGAGCATCAACGAGACTGTTTCATCTCCACTAAATCCTCAATCTGAAGTGAACTGAGGGTAAAACTGAGATAGTGAAGTAGATTGCTACCTAGCGTGTGAGAGCAGTAGACGAGAGTCTGTGTGTGTTCTAGGAAATGACAGTGTGTCAGGAAGGGAAATGTGTCGCTAACAGTTTCCGACAGGTCCGTCAATGCAAACATCAGTTCCAGGCGCAAAGGAAATTAGCTGCCCTTTTCAGAAAGGGTTTTATTAACGGCATCTATTGGAGACGTACTTCCATACTCCCTTTTTGTACAAAGTAGATACATGAATGAAAATGCAGTTATATTGTATTAATCCTATCTTTCTCTCGACGCCAGACAGCTGGTAACGGAGTTAGTTTAAATGACATGTACCACACTAGGTAGATTCCAAAACACGTCCACAGTTAAAGCGACACAGACGCTCATCCATGCTTTGCCTTAATGTGGATCATTGGTCTAGCAACCTTATTATGTTATATTCAGTGAAGGCCATTGTTTCTGTGAATTTCCGTATCTTCCATATGGTAAATATCCATATTTGCTTAAGGTGACAGTGGTGAGTGGAAGAGAAGGAGTGAATGTTAATTTGACCGACAGGTTGACTGTGATGTGGGTGTCAGTTTGCGTATGAGTATAAGTGTGATTGTCAGTAAGATTAACCAGCAATGACATCAGAGCACAATGACCTACAAACTGTGTGTGACTTGTCGGTCGAGTAAACGTCTGTTTTTGTCCATATTGTGATTGACCTTTACTAAAATTAATGTTAATGTTAATTACTGCTCGTGTGTATGAGTGTGAGTGTGAGTGTGAGTGTGAGTGTTTCTTTGTAATAGTTAAAATCTATGAAGTGACATTTTAGTGATTAAGAAGGGAACTCCGCCTACTTTTGATCGACAGTTATAAAGTGACGTCACTAGCAATGTCATATCCTACGTCATTTATTTACCTCACAAATTCAAATGTGCGCGCTGAAGTGGAGAGAAATGAACTAGCAGTCCGATTTCGTGAATTTTGATTTGTTGTTGTTCGACGGACATTTCAGCAATACTGACTTTGAATTTGTTGAATATACACAAACTCCAAGTCTAACCCAGTTGCTGTCTATTCCATCTCAAGATTTTGTAAAACATGAGGAAAGTGACGGTCGTTTCGACCCACCTCTATCATGCGATGATATCAAACAAGAGTGAGTGAGTGAGTTTAGTTTTACGCCGCACTCAGCAATATTCCAGCTATATGGCAGCGGTCTGTAAATAATCGAGTCTGGACCAGATAATCCAGTGATCAACAGCATGAGCATCGATCTGCGTAATTGGGAACCGATGACATGTGTCAACCAAGTCAGCGAGCCTGACCACCCGATCCCGTTATTCGCCTCTTACGACAAGCATAGTCGCCTTTTGTGGCAAGCATGGGTTGCTAAAGACCTATTCTACCCCGGATCTTCACGGGTCATATCAAACAAGAGCAAAAGGAAGCGATACCGAAGAAAACGCGACAAAACAACCAGTGGGCACTGAATGTTTGGAGAGATTGGGTGCAGTACCGAAATGGGCACGCTTCAACTTGATGTAATTCCAGAGGATAATTCTGCGTTGAATAACCGCGACCTTGATTTCTGCATGCACCGTTTCATTCTTGAAATACGGAGGAAGGACAAAGCGCCATATCCCCCTAACACATTGGCAAAGATCGTATCAGCAAGACTGTGGCACACCAGATATCAACTTTTATAAGGAGGACGATCCTACTTTTGCCGAATTTCGTAAGACATTGTACGTGCACATGAAGAAATTAACGGCAAAAGGCGTCAGCGTTGACGAGAAACGTTGTGACCCAGTCACAGAAGCGGACGAACGGAAACTGTGGGCATCTAATGTGTTTTCTTTGGATTCGGCGGACGGACTAAGTAATGCTGTATTTTTCTGCAACGGAAGAGCATTTGCTTTTCGTGGATTCAAAGAACATATATATTGTGAAGCGGATCAATTACAAGTTTTGAGTGATGTATCTAACCACAAGCGGTTACATATGTGCCATGTGTTTCGAAAATGTGCAAGCAAGAGTTGAAAATCGCCGCGTTGATAATGAACCTATTATTCATTATGAACAACCCGGAAACCCCAACTGTCTAGTAAAACTGTAGGACAAGTATTTGTCGTTGATTCCGAGAAAAGGACCCCTGTACAGGGAACCGCATGACGCCATTGATGACGGTCTACCCAGGTTCAGTGTAAATTGTATTCCAAACAATAAAATGTCGGGTATGTACAAGAAGTTTTATCAGCAGGCAGGTATTGATACCGAGGGCAGGACTTTCTCCAACCACTCAGGCCGCGTAACATGTTGTACAACATTGTACAACAGCGGATTTACAAGCCGAAGGAAACATCGCAGTAATTGCCGTGAGATATTGCATTTTGTTCCTAAAGTGTCACATCAGTATTTTCATTTTCCAGTTTTGTGTCTTCAAGACATTCGAGTCACGTTGACCTCATGTAAATAAAAAATGAAAACATTGTTGCTCTTTACCTTTGGACCAATCGGCAGCTTGCTAAATGCCTGCTGGATGCTGAGTTCTTAATCATTAAGGGCCTATTGACACAGGGAATTGGGATCATTTTATTGTTTTAAAAAGTAGGTTGAGTTCTAATTTGTTCTATTTGTTTTTTTATAGAACATACTAAACAGTTTTCATGTCAATAATACGGTGTTGAAACTCCGACACATGTGTTGGGCTTTACCGATTTCTCGAATTCAATTAACAAAACAAAGAAAATCAGAACGATTTTGTTCTCACCCCCATCATGGAATTCTAATGAATACAAAACTATGCACATCCTTAGAATTTGCATTAGGATGTAGGCGCAAAACTTGCCATAACGTCACACAAGTCCCATCGTTCCTGTGGACAGCTTATGACAATTCAAATGGACAAGAAACAAACAGAGTTCATACACGCTCATCATCGGTTGAACGTAAGTTGCGGTGGGAGTGCCTAAAAGAATACATGTATATAAACTCAGGTATACTGACACTTCCGATGCTGGTTAGTAAGGCTGTTGAACATTTCCATACAATGACTCACATAAATTTACCAAGCAGGAGTGTTACGGTCTTGTACACCTCAGTAGACTTCAGGTTTATTTGAAGGGGGAAGGAGTCGACAGTTCAAGTAGGTATGATATCATTGTTTATTTCCGCAGCAGGAGTGAGTGAGTGAGTGAGTTTAGTTTTACGCTTACGCCGTTATTAGCAATATTCCAGCAATATCATCGCTGGTGATACCAGAAATGGGCTTCTGTTGGTAGAGTACATTGCGCCACAGCTCTACGCCTACAGATCATAATATGTTGGGTTTTTCAGTTAACATTTTTGACATCAAATGAATGTACGTGGTGTAATTTTCCATAGATATTTGTTGTCACGGAGTTATTCAGATTCTAAATATTCCTGCACTGGATGACACAAACGTATTACTGCGCTTTCCCATACCTGTTGATCTTTCAATCGTTAAATATTCTCAGAGCTTAACGAATAAATAATTAGAAAAAGATATATTAATTGACAACTATATTGCAATAGATGCGACGTTTCTGTGTAAATGCGAACACCGTTGCAATAAAGAAGTTGTCAGCTGTTAAAACGTATTCTTCTGCATCACACCAGCTTGTAACTGCCACTTAAGAAGGCAATAATACGGTACCTTAAATTTTGATAATCAAACCGCTTTCACAATAAAAATGCATCAAACAAGATAAATTCTTCGACATCATCTACTATAATTGAAACACTGCAATGAAACAAATGGGTGCATAAATACCGATCGCGTTTGCTGATATGTACTGCGTCACCGCCATCAGTTAAATGTGGATGTATGATAATAAGCTGGTGGTGATGCTTTAGTGTAACGATTAATACATTTACACGACTGAGAGCAGTTGGAAGTATGTCCAGGCCGTCAATACAATCACGTCTATTACGGAATTCCATGGACATCTCTTCTGTAGCAGGATCAACACAACTATCACGGATAGAGGGTGTCGTGCCTTCTCTCATTCATCCCTTGTCACTTTAAGGAGACAGTATCGACAGTGCAGAGGCGAAGTGTTTAATAAGAACCTCGGTGCCGCTCCCCGGGGCGGCTTGCTCCTCGTGCTGGAAGCAATGTCGTTTATTGGGATTTGTCCCACCCAACCCGAGCACATAAAGGGGAGACGTGTTATTGGCAGGTCAAGTATAAATGACATGTGCAATCAGTAAATGATCGTTAGTTGTTTTTTTCAGTCTTCGTTCCAATATTATATTTCAGTGTCTGAATGGCAAATTGGTTTCTTTATGTGAGGCAGAGTGGTAACTGTGATATTTGTTTGAGATTGAAATAAAATCAAAGGTGGCAATATGATACTTACTACCAGTACCACTACCACTTCAACTATTATTGCTACTACTACAACAACCACCACCACTTCTACTACAACCACTACGTCTACTACCACCGCTACTCCTCCTTCTACGGCAAATCATTGCAATAGTTAACGCAATTTACTTTACTAACGTATATGCATTCATTGACTTTAATGAACATTGAAATTAATATTTCACCTTGTCAAAGAAGATCATGTCCTATAAGAAATGATAAGACAAAAAACATCTTTCCGATAGGTTCCCTCTCAGCTTGACCTTCAGCTTCATTGCAATCGGCACCACTCAAAGAATACCCGCATCATGGTCGAGTTACTGCCGACAGTACCACCATATTTCCCATTACAATCAAAGCGAACTGGCTCGACTGCTTATCTGAGGAATGGTCAGACTTGGTTCTGAACGAGTTTACAGTCAAGGCACACCCGAGACGTGCTAGGAGTTGAGAGGAATGATTAAGTTGCATCTACGTGCTGACCCCGTGAATCACTGGCTGTGTGGAGGATTATGTGCGTCAGTGACTCGCAATCAATTCATTACGGTTGTTAGGCTCGCTAACTAAGGGTTAAACCAGCTGTATGATATTAATGGCCAGGGGAGGTGGTAGATGTATGGTATCCGGTAAGCATCTTGGAAGGCCATCGTGTCTGATTATTTCGTTTTTGAGTCAGAATACATGCATTTAGTATAATCTGTTTGGTTTCAACGTGTGATCAGTTTATGTGAGTGAATCTGTTCTTTACGACGTCTTCGGTGAATGTCTCAGGGGGCACAAAACAATTGTAGTCCACATTGTATTGACATGGGAGACAGCCATGTGGCCGTAGTAACTTGTAAATGGTAAAATGATAAGGATACAAATTAGCAAGATAATGCCCTTTGGCAGGTGTCGGAAACTGTTGAGTTTAAGTGAGAACCATGCAGAAAACGATCTCATACGTCTATCGTCATTGTGGACTAGTTGCTTGGTTACTTAATCACGAATGGAATAGGGCATTCCCTTGCGTGCCATATGGATATAACTTCTCAAATCATTATCAGAATGAGAAAAAAATAAACATCTTCAAAAAGGAGAGTCTGTTATACGATTAAGATATATCATACGTATGGATCAATATCAAATATCTTGAAACCAGGAAATCGCGGAAACCTAGCTGGGGATATCTTGTCACAAACACATGCACAGGCAAGTTAACTCCTGCACCATGACAAATCAAGGGAATACACTGTCCACTTCAAAATAATTAATTTCATTGGACATGGGCCTCGTCACTGTGGCTTCCTATTTGGAAATATCCTCATGCTTATGATATTAGTTCCATTCAGGTGCCGAGCTGAGTAATGCCTTAATCACGATGTGACAATTTAATTTACTGTCATTTTCATGGCGCCTTTAACAATGCTCACAAAACGGGAAAACAGTGTTTAAATTAGCTATTGCACGTTTCACAGAGCTTTGCCTTCGTACCTCCCGGCATATCTTTCAACGCAAGGATAACTGAACAGACAATCATGATTGGCTTCAGAAATGGATTTTCGTTTCTCGACCTCTTTAAATTATTATGTATGTACAATTGTTGGTGGGATAACTTTCTCAAATGATCAGAATAGAAAACATACGAAATGGTTGCACTTCAACTGGCGATAATGACAAGGGACATTATACAGATCACGAGCTTCTGTTATTTTGAGAGACGAGCGACTAATTGGGAATTTCCGTAAAAACGTTACGAAACGTAAAGGATATTCAAGATATTTTTATGGATTAAACTTCTTTTTAATTTCTCTCGCATTACTATTGCATCGCGTGAGAGAAATTAAAAAGAAGTTTAATCCATAAAAATATCTTGGACATCAAT